GTCTGATTAGGACTAAACTTTTAGTAAATGTCGTCTGCTAGTAATAGCGCTACTTTGGTTATGGAAATGAAATTGGCGCAAGCTGTATTCTCTCAAGACAATTTCTTCACACCACATTCATTTTAATTTGGAACTACCGGGCCGTCAGACAGTCTTCACTGATGGTCGAAGCACCGGAAAGTCAACACTGCCACCATGAAATTCAACAAATAACTAATGCTGTTAAATAATTGTTAACCTTTCGAAATAAAACAAAATGTATCTGTATGCTGGTATTAAAATAGTTCCTATCTGAAACCTTATGAGAATAATGCGTTGTCCAAAAGAGTTTTGGTTTTATTCTATGCCATTAAGGGGATCACGTGGCTAAGTGGGTAAGACGCTAGCTCGCTAGCCTGGAGGTCGGGTGTTCGATCCCTGCATTGGCCGAGAAAGTTCATTCAGATTTTCCGGCGTGGTTCTCCCTTGCCAGTGATGCAGGATGGAGGGGCTGACAAGGAAAGCTGTCTAGTCGTTCGGATGGGACGAAAAACCGAGGTCCCGTGTACACATTGGCGTGCACGTAAAAGATCTCTTGACAGTTGGAATTCGATATAAGAGTAGGCCGTAGTGCCGCTGTCCGGGCAAAATTTCCCTCATAGCACACTGTATGGCGTATGCCCGTCTTCATTAGCCCAGGTTAGGAGCAGAACAGTAGGACGTTAAACTCCATTTCATTTCATTTCATTTTCATTTCTATGCCATTAAAGGAGCAGTCCCAGATTTCACAGTTGATAAAAGTTGGACTAAGTATGCAAATTAAACGCCAAAACATCAGATATTCAGAAATGATCGTTGGGTGAATGACTTTGTAATCTCGATGACGACTACCAAGCCACTAAAAGAACATGGAAACTGAAAGGTGTATTTCATCAAAAAAGTACCCCATGACATTGATAAACGTTTCTAGACGACTTTTACACAGAATTAAACAGTTTTATTCACTTATATCTGACCACCTCTTACATACCAGGTTCTTCCCCATACTTGTGTTGCGGATAATCATTGAAAGTCGCTAATGCTCGTACTTTTCCATATTACCTTGCTGTTGCCGTTTATTTTACTATCGTTTGTTGTATGCTCGAGCTATCTGGAAACGGACGTAAAGCCCCAGCAGTAGTAGAATAAATAGCAGTAGTAGTAGGAGGAGGTTGGAGGAGTAGGATTCCGAGCCGTTGAAGATAAAACGTCGGTTTTAAAAGATAGGTTGACAGGCAACGATATTTCAACCAAAACAAATAAAATAAATTTTCAAATAAGACGACATACAGATTGATGGCAAGAGTTAAAATTTAATGATTGGAGGCCAATGGACGTTGCTTAACTCGAGGCTTGAGGTCAGGACTAAGACTAGTAATTCTCTCCCCACTGATTTCAATGTTAAATCTATGACATTGCTAGGTCTATAACATTATTTTTTTTTACATTCCGATGATTACTTTACTGTTGGGCGAAGTTATAACTGTTTGAAGATGTAGCATATATCTTTCGTTATCGTAGAAATGATACTTTACAACCGAGACCCAGTCTTGACTATCCATTTTATCGTAAAATTTTTAAATCTCGCTGTTGCTCAAATCCATTTAAATCTCGTCCATTCGATGTTCTAGAGAGTTGATTGTGGTCTTGATGTCTAAAATAATAAATTATATAACATTAGAAGCCAAAAGGAAGACCTGCAATAGCAGACCCGTAGCTAGCCCAAAAATGTTGGGGGGGGGGGGCAAAATAGGGTTTGCACCTGAGGAACTATGAAAATGACGGAAAATTTCAATTTTGAGGCTGAATTTGCGATATTGGCGTGTTATGATATTTTGATATGAACATTATAAAATTTGAAGGAAGGAATACGACTTTAGCGTACGTATAATAATTTATGAGAAAAACGTAAAGTTCGGAATCGAGTTAGAGTGCGGTTTGTTTGAATTTTAAAGATTATCATGCCTGGCGCGGGATTGAATCAACTTAGACGCTCGAGTGATATATCAATTATTTAAGAAAAGCTTGCAGACGACGGGGTTGTTGGCTATGGTCCTTTATTATTCAATAATCAGAAAGCTATACAATATTCTTAATTATAAATACATTTAATGATTAACGATCGCCAATATCAGTGAAATCTACACGTTATGCACGTGCAATCAAGCGAACAAAAGTCATTTAACGTGTAAAGAAGTGCGATTTTTAATGGCGTTTTAAGCTGTGGAAAGTAAGGTTGACAGGTTCAATTTAATGGGAATGAATCAGAACGTAATAAAAGTTTATATTGATATTCTCATACCGTTCGTCAATAATTTCTATGAATACTTCCGTTATATTATTTCATCCAATAATCTATCAGGTGTAGTCTAGGTCATAAAGCTTGATAATAAAAGTTTAGCGAGTGCTCTGCTTAAAAGCATTTACACCACAATGTAATTAATGCATATTGTTAAAATTTGTAAGGGTGAAAATACTACATATTCATGATTTAGTGCTAAAGAAACTAGCAAATGACGTAATAATAGAATTAGTCTAAAATATTATAATATATTGACGTTCGCTTCTCGTGGGCCGTGTTCACTCCAGTCGGATTGTAACTGGTTTCTAATTTCGTTTCTTTGGCATTGTTATGCTGTTTAATATTTCACTATAATAAGGTCTAACAACGTTTTTAAGAGGGGGGGGGGGATGGCCGAATGGTTAGCACGCGCGCACTGTATCATACGGTCTGTCATTGAGTCAACTGGTGGGGTTTCGATTCTTCGGTTGTACGTGACACGGAGTAGGGTCGCCTGTCCAACCTCGTGGGTTTCCTCCGGTTTCCTCCCACTGCTAAAGACCCCTACGCGCAAGCGAATCATTGAAATAAAACTAAACCCCATTTCTTTCTCTCTCTTTTTTAAGAAGTTTGTGATCTTTTGACCTGCCCTGACCTATCTTCCATCCAGCCAATGAACAAATGCTTTGGCTCTGACAAGAATTATTTTAACTAACCACTGTGGCTACAGTTAAATTTGAAAGAGAAAAAAGAATTTGTAAATAAGTACATGTAGTTGGAACTTCACATACCGAAGGCAAGCCAGAATAAAAACCGGAATGAAAGGACGTATTTTTCAAAGAGATTATATTATTGTAAATCGTGATTTATGTTAATTTAAACCCCGTTTCTTAATGTTATTATATCTAGCAACATTAACTAAAGTTAATAAATGTAATTGATCGGCAATGTTTCTTTTTCTTCAATAACACATATAAGCGAATATTTAATGAATTAATTAAATAGAAGACATATCTTTAAATGGCATTTAAAATACACGCCTTCTCGTATTATCAGCACGTGACATTTCTTCGTTTCGTTGTGAATATTCCGGTAGTTATAATTTTTACAGCCGAATAAAAAATACCGGGGAATAAAGGAATCCCGAATGGCGATCATAAAGTCGCATTATTCCTATTTTTTTTTTTAAATTTTTGGCGTACGCCATTCGCCGTTTTAGGAGAATCACCACCGCCGTTAATAGGAAGCAGGGCTGTTGATAGATAAAGTCGATTGAGGGGTGGGGTGGGGGCACAGATTCCACTCAGAAAGGGACACCGTAGGTCCGGCGCCCCAAATCTGAACGCTGGAGATGTTTAAAAGTGAACCCATAAGCCCCAGTAATTACGGGGCTGCGAAACAAAAACCCCTGAACACACAGACAAACTGCTTCACAGAAAATTGAATTCGTAAATTCAAACCTATCACAGCTGATAAAATGTGATTGGTTGATTGCATGGTTATAATTGTTATTTTAATCACATGGTGTTATCATTCTAATTGTTATTTTATCACGGGGTTGTTTTTATTCTAATCTCTCTGTATTAATGCTTCTGTTCCTCTGTTACATGTTTATTAGTCACGAATCGCTGTTTATAGTCTTAATAACGTAATTATCGTATCGACTTTTTTACCATCCAAATGAATATATCGTTCTTTCGCCATGAAAGCTAGTCAATTACCACCAAGCTTTAAAAAAAATACCCGTTAATTATGCGATCCGCTATTATCCGTAATGTGATTCGGTCTCTAATGAAGAAATCAAGCTGGAAAATTATGCAAGAATACAATAGCACTGTCTGACGAAACCATTATGAGTATATAGAATAGAAAAACCGATTCGTTGCCACACGAATAATGAATTAATGGAGTAAAGTACATAAAAAAATATGGATTTTTAGGAAGCGACAATCCCCCCCCCCCCCACCAAAAAACATCGGCGTGAACAGCTTTTTTATAGGCTGAATAACTTCCCCACAATACACTCTAATGGAAAGAAATTCTCGGTTCATTATATATGTTTAGCTTTTACATAACAGATGGTTTATATTATCACATAGTTATTACAAATATGTAAACATAATGATGTTTATTACAAAGTGTTGCTTGTTTGTATTTATAGATTATATTATTACATTTATATTTATTACACGATGGGTATATTTTCCTCTACCCGAAAGTGAATTATTAAGATTAAAATATTCCCGAAATGATCTAGTTATTAGGGTTGGTCGAATGTTACCACACCCTCTCCCTATATGTGTATATTTGTCACATAATAAGGTCCTTACATTATGTTGTTTGTATTATGCTTTTATTGCACAATGTTGTTGTTTTTTTTTACTTATTGTTGTTTATATGTATCATGTTTGTATTGCGTACTTGTATTTGTTGTTTTCATTTGTTAAAAACGTGTTGATGGTATTAGTATATGGAATATTGTTTGTATTATTACACAATGTTGTTTATATTTACAGAATGTAATGAACAATGGAAGTATTACATATATATTATATTGTTTAAATTATTACAAAATGTCGTTTATATTTATTACAGAGTGTAATGAACAATATAAGTATTACATATTATATTCTTTGTATTAAGTATTACATATTATATTGTTTGTAATATTATAATATAATGTTGTTTATATTTATTACAGAGTGTAATGATCAATGCGGCGATAGAAGAGATAATGTAGGTGAAAGAAGATGTAGTAAAAGATGTGCTACTAATCAGGATTGTGTCAGTGCCAAGAAGAAATGTTTATGTGATGGTGTCTGCGGTTTAAGTTGTATTAATACAAGTTAGTAGTACACAAACGTATTCAATACAGCGAGTACACTGGATCGACATTCTTCGGTATCTTCCGATATTTTAGGATTGTTTGTTTATTTCTCTTGAGATTAAGTACTGGATAATCGTGTTAACGGAAATGTAAATAAGTTTGATTCTTTTGTCATCCCAAAATATAAAAATGCTTTCTTTTTTTATGCAAAATCAATCAAATAATTTAATAGTACGCACTGTAACAATTAAGAAAAGAGCCATTTATCCCCCCCCCCCCATCCCATAATCATCAAATTAACAGACCTTGATAAAACAACCATTATTGTCGCCCCAATATTCAACATTATCACCCAATTCTCCATCGCCATATCGTTCGGAATGAAAAAAGAAACCCAGACAAGATTGTTTATGGTATCAGTAATCAAATAAAAATTGGAAAGGGATCGACGAAAACAGTTGTTCATTTTTCACATTTCTCTGTCATCTGTTAAATGATCATGCCAGTCACAATTTGTGATCTCATAAACCATGATTTGGACGATTGCCGGTGTTACTGTAAGATGCCGTTAAAGGAAAAAGAGAATGATTGAGTAATTTGAATGAACAGAATTTGTTATACCGTGATCGAGAGACACTCTAACTAACGTTATATCTAAATTGAAAATAGCTTTAAGTTAGCCAGGCGAGAAATGAGTGATTCGGTTCTTGTCTGGATGGCGGCCATCTTACTTGTAATCAGTTAAATACAATGAAACAAAACTATTGATGGATAAAATAAATTACTGATTATCCAGACTTCTGGTCACCGTTTACACGCTAGTAAATCATGTCGGCTTATTTAAAGTGATGGTTCTATATTCAATATATTTAAATGTTAAAAGGACAATGCCAGATTTAATGACTTCGCTACAGCTCTTTATATTAACCAGGCCCCACAACAAACCCTATAACGAAAACACTAATAATTTGCAGGTTGCCATACTGTTAAATTTTCAAAATATTAACCTTTTTCAAAAAGTACAGTGTAATTAGCCTCAATTTTTCAAGTAATGGTTGAAAATTTTTACGGTGCTATATAATTAATAAGTAGTGACTTTAGATCCTGGTATGAATGAAATTCTTATCCCGACTATAGTTATTGTACAGTTCCCGAATGTGTTAATTACAAAAGAACAGCTATTCGATTCGTTTGCAAAGTATCTTCATCCAATTTTATAAGGCCATATTTCAGTCATCAGGCTTAAGGATACAGAGCATAAAACTATGTTTAAACATTCATCTACGGGGCTACGGGATCAAAACGTTTTTTTTTTAAAATTCGATTTACTACAAATTTGCCCGAAATATAGTTTCTTGCAAAATAAATTTTAATCATCCGCCGTGCAGTGCGCCAGTTCTTACCATGTGTCACATTGGCGTTTAACCTAGGGCGGACGAGTGTATTTTTTCGCTCGGTCGCGCCGAATTTTAAAATCGCTCAAAAAAATTGCCGGCGTAAAATATTCGGCCGAAAATATCTAACATGCTAGATACGGACTATCGGTACGGTGAATTGTTCGCCGAACAGAATCGGGCATACGGGCGATTTTTACGAGCGATTTTAAAATCGGCGCGATCGGGCGAAAAAATACGCTCTTAAAATGGCAGGTCCTCTTAACTCTTAAAACTGTCGATTTAATTAAATTTGAATTTTGGATTTATTTTTTGAAGTGAGTATTCGTCTACATTTTAGAATTTGGGTCTATAGACAGAACCAATGTTGAAAGATAACTAATTTTGTGTTCAGCTTGGGTCTAAAACCAAACTAAAATTAGTAATCAAACTTAAAATTAAATCGTATAGATTTTGTCCCATCCGATCAACTGCACCGATCAAATTAATTCAAATCTTTATTTTCATTTAACTCAAAGAGGATTAGCTCCTTTAAACATTGCCGGATCTCCCCACCCGATCTCTTTAGTCCAGCTCAGCCCTTCTAAATATCTGACAGCTAATTTCACCACCACATCCCCGAATAGGTAACCCTAATAGAACATTGATTTATCCGCTATCCATTACTTAAAAAAAACCCCAAAAAACACGTAATGAACACTAAATGTCGGTTTTCCTTTCTTTAAAATATATATATATATATTTTTTAAATCGATTAAGCTGTATTGGCCCGTCTAGGTTATATCGCTTTGTTCCCATTCTCATGACATTGTACGAAAGTTTATAATGCTTTACTGCAGACAACCCAATTATAAACGCCTGCTAAACCAAAAATACTGACATTTTTACACGGCCGCGTTATCGTATTTTTATGCAATAACTGTTATGTAGCACGCTTAGCTTGGGTCGGAGAAGTGTTAACATTGTCTGTCTAATTTAGATTAGTCATAAAGATCTTCCTAACCAGTTGTTGAGTATTCGACTAGTGGAAATTAGATATAATTAAGATATGAAATTTCGTCCACCACAATTGTCTGAGTCCTTAATTCTCTATGTTTAAGGATCTTTGTAGACATTCTGATGGAACTGACGATGAGTATGATGAGCTACTTCAAGGAATTATCGATATTCCCTGATGATTCGAAGATAGCTTTATAAATTAACTGAAGTGATATGGAACTTGTGAAGTTGATAAAAATCAAAAGACAACGTTGGGAGACTTTCAAACTATGCAAAAATAAACCCCTTTTAAAAACACTGTAATGTTGTTAAATTTTACCTAATGTCTAGTGCGAGGTTATGTCATATGACACTAAACATACAACAAAAAGTTGCGAGAGAAAAACTCTTAAAGGTTTTACATGGGCCCAGGTCCCTAACCGCACAATTCCCACCGACCGCGTGTAAGCCAACAAAATAATATACTGTCTTGTATTAAATTTAAAGTTACATGTTTGTGACGGGATGTATTTCTCGGAATTACAGGAATCGTTGATTGCCACATAACGAACAATCCTGTATATTTTTTGATCGCAAGTTTTCTGCTGTGAACTCGATACAGTTGTTTTAAAATTAGGCGTGAGTCTTTACTTGGATTACAGTACCCTTCTGTCGCCCAGCTTCATTATCCCGATAGTTGGACGTTAAGCCCCATTTCATTTCCCTATTGTCGCATTACGGTTTTCGAATTTATGGCACTCAGATTTCTTATCTTTGATGCATGCCTTTCTGCCAAGTTATACACTTGGTTCACTTGCTGTTAAATTCGACCTGGTCAATAAAATACGACTCAATTATCAGAAAATTCATTCATTTTTGATATTTTAAATCATGTATTAGCTCTAATGTGTTTAAGTCATGAACCGTAAGAAAGATATCCCGAGAATATTTAAGGCCATGGGTTGACCGCGTAATCGAATCTGGTATAATTTACAAGGGTAATTATTGTGTTCGGAACACTCCGGTACTAAATCAACCCTTTTTAGACACTCGCTGTTAGCAAACAGACATTCCTAAGACAAAAACAATCGCCATTGCTCTCAAAAATGGCCATAAATACTCATTGGTGTACACCAGGTGAAATTTAATTTCTGTAAGAGTATTGGAATTCTGTCGAAGGTAACAGACGAAGCGTTGATGAATTACATCCCAGTGAACAGCAAACAGCCAATTATAAACTCCAGAAATGAAGAGTTGCGCGAACCTCTCTGAATAAAGAAATTAAATTTTTTGAGAAATCGATTGCGAGTTTGTTTTTTTAATGAATAAACGCCTCAGTAATAACCCCTTCCCGCATGTCTCATTTTCATGTTAGCCGTCGAAAATCTTATTCAAATTTAGAACGGAGGGAAACCATTTAAAACAAACCAGCAAGAATGAATACAGATTCACATTGGATTATAACTGATATGTGACAAATTGATGTTCTAATTTAGGAATTTTAGAATATCTTGAACGATAAAAAGAGATCTGCAATTCAAGAAAGAATTTGAAAGTTCGGATAGCCAAACCTATATTTGCATAATTGTACACATATCGGCAATGAATCTCGTGGCTACTGTGTTTGAATCATTGGAGTATTACTGTTTTACGTCAATTTCGCTCTTAAATTATATTTTCCGTGATGTATGAAGATAAAAGAGAGGAAAAACTGATTGGCATGCAATACCTAATAAAAGTCAAGAGCATTCACATGTATTTTATGATTGACGAATGTAATTTTTTTTGTTTGGCATTGAAATGAAAAGAATTTTGTTATTATAATTACACGTATCTGTAATGAAAGTAGCTGTAAGTTTAGTTGACTGTTAGTAATTTGTTTACATTTTTAAAATATACAATACAACACAAACTATTCGACAAAATATAGAACACAATTATTAGACACTACATATCTTCAAGTCTCTTTTATTTGTTATGCTATCATCTATTGTATTATATTTTTCATGAAGGGCAGGGTGGTAGAAAGGCTCCCACAGCCTAATCCTTTACCCTTCTTAAATAAAGATATTATTATAACAAAAATAAATGCACAGGGTGCCAGATTAAAATCACAAGACGCTGAAGCCAGTTTATTGATTTTCAGTTGTAACGTAACCGGTGGTTTTGGTATTTTGAGAGTTCTATAAATTGTTAATCTATTAAAAGCAGTTATGTATCACATATTAAATTGCTAATCTATATTAAAATCAATTATATATCGCATATTAAATTTTTAATCTATTAAAATCAATTATGTACCATATATTAAATTGTTAATCTGTTTAAATTAATTATCACATATTTGTGTAACCCAAACACTCTCTTATGCCAAGAACCTTCATTTTGTCCATCATTTCAATGTTTTTCCTACTTTAATAGATTAATATGAAACAATTATCACAAATTTAACTAGTTTGTTTGCCAGGTAAAAATGGGATTCCAATAATTTTATTAAAAATAGCCCCGTTAGCTAAAAAATAATAATTTCATGTCCCGTGCTGATCAAACCGGTGGCAAATGATAAGAGACTTTTTCAGTAGAAAGCTATTGAATTAGGATTTACCTTGAATACATTTTCTATATATCTCCTTTGCCAAACAGTAAGATATGGATGGTATTAAAGCCGAGCTTGCTTCGATGAACTAACGATCCATCAAGATTAATGTATTGTAGCGGAAATAAATAAATACAGAAACCAAAAAATCCATGAGAATACGTACCATTTGCGTTACACTGGTTTAAGCCCTGGGCAACACGGATTTACTAATATATTACACCAGTCAAACACTGCCATAACACAGCTGAAATGGGCAAAGGAAATGAATTGGGTTTTAACGTCCAACCTTTGTGCACCAAGGCCAACATACGCCATGCGGTGACTATGAGGGGAAATTCAACTGTTAGGGTTCTTTTACGTGCACGCCGATGTGGTGATGAGGAGACTAATATCACTAATTAAAGAAGCGTTATTCAAGAGCTAAATCTACCTATTGCAGTTCTTTCTTTATGCCTTAAATGTTAAATAAGTATTAACTTGCCAAGACCACACTCAACTCCCAATGCCATCGGGTGCTCGAGATATTTAACATATTTAAATATATAATTTAAAAATGGATATTTGAGACTTTGTTTATTATCTTAACAACGGCAGCAATGACGATCGAAATTACACTGTTCTTCTAACGGCGATAACTTGGCTCAGAATGAAGTAATTTAACTGAAAGTTTTAATTTTCATTGTCTATTTTTTTTTAACTATTATAGCGATAAGTGCCAGCTATTTTTCTACATCCTACATAATGGCTAAATTTGTTTGTTAAGACCAGCTCAATTTTTGTCAAGGTCGTGAAGATGTAAATAAGGTTACGGCACGTGATTGTTGGCGAGGTTGTAAGTTAAGGTTATGGTAAGCATTGGGGCTAGGTACAGGGTTAGGGTTGGGATTAGCGCTAGCCCTGTATGATAAAAAATTTGAGCTGGCCTTATCATTTAGCACTAACCCTACCTAATGCCCCTTTAGATTGACATTGGTAGATGTTTTGTTTATCAATTTATTTTCGTATTTTTTCTTTCACAGACATGAAATGTGTTGACATTGAGGGATCTAGAATACCCCACGGCCATGTTGAAATAATTCCCTTTAATCAGTTCGGTGCTGTTGCTAAATATAGATGTGACGACGGTTATACGTTATTTGGAATTACAGGGAGGGTCTGTCAGGGCGACGAGACCTGGAGCAGGCAAGCCCCCACTTGTAATCTTACAAGACATGTTATAGGTGAGTATATAATTACAATAAACGTAAGATCAGGTCCTTAAGGACAAGTATGAAGGTGATTGGTAAAAGTCAAGCACAGTGAAATTTGGAATCAGTGTTAAGAGTGTACAGCCAAAGTTATCAGAAAGAGTATGTTCATTATATGAACCCCTCATTAATTATTATACCCTGCCTCATGGACGACACCCCTCACCACTCCCGGCATCATCTCAAGGTATTTGTCATATAGTACAAATATATACTTATGAGCATTGAATTATGTATCTGTAAAGGGAAATAATATCTTCGATTGTTTTGTTTCTTTTCAATTTAACTGGGTGTACACAAATAAGTCAATGAATTTTGAAATCGATCAGGAATAAATCGGTTCAGACAGCAATTGCTATACCTTATGCTACATTATTCGAAAACGTGGCGCGTTTGTCCTTGCTGCTGACGGAAGAGTGTAATATGTTCCTTATTTAGTGCTGTTCCTGAAACGACGGATGATTTCGTTACATCACACAAATAGTGTAGTAAGTGAAATATAATTAGTACTTCAAATCTTGAAATATAAAGAAAAATAACAAATTAAGAATTTTCTTGCTTTTTTCTATAAAGAGCAATTCTGTTTTTGCTATAATTATCGTTTAGTTCTTCTCAGCTGTCAAAGAAAAATAAAATCCCAGATACAAACATAAATAATGGTGCTTTAATTAAACGACATTCAGGGATACAAATAAAACGTTTATCAATATTTTCTCAGTTATTAAAATCAACTTAATAACTTCAATTTTCTGGTGAGCCGTATAGTTTTGAAGTTGGAAGGGGTCTGTTGGACAGAGATAAGGCAGTGATGAGGAAACCCGATAAGTAATCGGCAAAAATATCAATACGTTCTGACCCGAACACTACAGAGACTCAAATTGCGTAAGACTTTATATGAAGTGTTTGTTTATTGGTAATATTTATAATGAGTAATTTTGAAGTTTCTTGTCAACAAAGTCTAAACCATGTTATACTGGTTTTTATCACTGATGAGATAAACGGTTGGAAATACGGTTTATGTTTGTTTTCGATAGTAATGTAAATATAATTGTCCACTGATTTACATTGTAAGCCGTATTAGTAAACGGAATATTGCACAAGATATATCGATTGTAGACATATATTTTGAAAACGTATGAAAGCGAAAACTTAGTTTAACTACAGTGTCTATCAATGATGTTTAAAATGTGTAACAGGGAGAGATTTTGATGGTGCTTATCTTTTACGATCTTGCCTAATTGAAGATGTCACTTTTCTGTAATATAGTTATAGTTTTGTGCCAGAAAATGGTTTAGACGGTCTGACTTTTCCTGCCAAATCTTTGAAGTACTGTATTTGTGAAAGGGCTTATCTACTAACCAAAACCTGCCTAATAACATGACTTATTTAAATACAGGGTTTTATAAAAAATAAACAATAATTTGACGACCCGACCATAAGTTAGACACCAATACTACAGCCTAGACTGACTCCGCGTGGAATATACTTCGAATATTATTCTGGACAAACTAGTTCGGTTCAATTTTGTTTTGCTTTTTTGGTCACAAAGAAGAACCATATCATGATATACTATTTGCTATACTATTCATACCTAAGCAGGTTAATAATGATGAGTAAAATCGATGTATAAATATATGAATAAATAAGACACGTCATGTTTACCAATAATAAACAGCAGGATTCTTGATCTTACTTACAGAGTGGTTCAAGTAATTGAATTCTCGGCTGTAATAAAATAGGTTCCATATAAAAACAAAGTACCCAACAGATACACTACTGACGTGGTTATCTCGAGTCTAAGAAGCCGTGCAAAATCAGGTATCGAATAAAGAAGCTGCGACAATGGTCACAATACCCTACATTTTACTATTTTGATTTGATGTATTTTACAGAAAAACAAGAATGCGGTCGCCCTCCACAGGTGAACCACGCCCATCACAGTGGACCCCGGAATGTTATGTCCCATCCATTGGGAAGCACTTTACTGTATGAGTGCGATGCTGGTTTTACAGCCAGGAAAGATGTGGTAGTCAGAGCCTGGTGTGTCGGAGATGGAGTGTGGGTCGGACCTAACTTAACATGTAGCCGTAAGTAAATAACTGAACGTTGAATTCACTGTATCGCACGGTTCGGATATTGGTAACACCAACAAGATGTCTGTTCTATGTTTGAGCAACAAGACTGCACTGTATATGTGTCGCGATGTGAGCTGATTCGGGGAATTTCACTGCTTATTACACTTGGAGTCCACTAGATTGCCCTTTGAATGTTACCTTATGGCGATATTATTCCAAAATAAGAAATTCAACGTTTCACTTTAATTGTGCCGACATCAGGATACATTAATCAATCCATTAATCGTTCTTAGTTCATGTACCTTTATCCGCGGTATTTTACTTTTGATTTCAGATGCTGGATGTGACCTTTTGCCCGATATACCTTCCGGTACAGTTCATATCATTCCCCCCAATATGATTGGTGGTAGAGCTAGATATAGCTGTTATCCTGGTTTTCATCTTGTTGGACGAATTGAACGAACTTGCCAGTCAGATGGTCAATGGGACGGATCACCCCCAAGCTGTGAAAAGGGTACGATCTACAAGAAATTCAAGGCTGATAACAAACAATATATTGTTATTAATAGCAACATTTTCAGACTATTATGATTTTATCGCATGTTCTTGTTCGTATCTGAGACAGAAATCGTTTAAGACGAGATTAACCCAAGAAACTTGTCGAATATGAAACACATGGTTGTTGGTTTCAATTCGCAATTGTTGTAGTTACATGATTGATTATTGACTAGAAATTAAGTTCAGGTATACCACAAGATGAAAATGTAATCATCATGAATTTATGTTTCTATACCTTCACAACATATTAGTTTCGATCTGGGTTCCACAAATAATATAATCTTTAATTGTGCTTATAGTTGTTTGTGGACGACCACCGGAGGTAGAACATGCTTCCCACGATGCACCTACAGATCAACTGCAGTTCCAAGCCGGCACACAGTTAACCTATACGTGTGTCTTTGGTTATTATAGAGAGGGGGCGCCTAGATCCATGTGTACAGGAGAAGGTCAATGGGTAGGACCCAGAATGACATGTAAAGGTAAGTTGTTTCTTTCTGTTGGGCAATTCTTTTATTTGATAAGATGGTATGACCACCACAAATAGCATTAAAAGAACTAATCCTCTTTGATTTGGGTCAAAACTAAACGTTGAATTGGGTTGATCAAATCATGGGAGTAGTGTGAGAGAGAGAGAGAGAGAGAGAGAGAGAGAGAGAGAGGGGGGTAACGTCAACTCGACACAAACTAGGTCATTTCGGGACTAACCTATGGCTCTCAATTTTACTTCATTAATTTGCTTGCGCGTAGGGGACTTTAGTAGTGGGTGGAAACTGGAGGACCCGGAGAAAACCCACGAGGTTGGACAGGCGATCCTACTCCTTGTCACGTTCGAGCGGAGAATCGAAACCGCGCGACTTGACCCAATGACAGACCTTCTGATCTGTGGATCTAAAATTTAGAATGAAGACAGATAGTCGCCTTGAATTAATGTATTACCCCCCCCCCCCCCACACACACACACCCACAAACACACGCAATATTTTGAGGGTCGTATTCCGTGTTGTGCGTACCGTTTGTGGACGATCGGTCAACATTTTCAAATGTTGATTGACTCACATTATTTTTTTTTTAGGAACCAGGACAACGTAATGCTATGGAAATTGTATGAAATTTATATCTTTCAGCCCGAAATTGTGGTGCACCTGGAGAAATCAACAACGGTTGGCGAGATCCGGGTTATAAGTTCACGTTTCCTAGTAGAGTTACATATCACTGTAATGAAGGTTTTGAACTATTGGGTCGAGCATTCAGAGAATGTCAGTCTAATGGAGAATGGTCAGGAATATTACCTACATGTGAACGTAAGCGATTAATTATTTATTATTTACTCCAATAAAAAAGAGGTTAAATAATTTCAAAATATTTGGAGTCCAGTAATCTTATAAGAGAGGGCTCAAAATTTAACAGACCATTCCCCACTTTTAAAGATACCTGTGAGAAAGCAATATGATGTGCAAATTATTGAATGTAAATTTCATCCGGATTCGGACAATTAAACATACCCTATATTAAACTGATCATAACTAAGTTAGAATTGATCGATTTGAAAAATATTTGGACCAAAATCTTATTTTTAAGTATGATCTTAATTTCCATACTTAACCTTTATTCTGGCGTATTGAAGCCAAAATGTTGCTTACCAGATAAACTGTAAAACTAATCTCTAAATAATACAACACAGATATTCTTATGTAGAAACGAGATTAATATATTTTAAACTTTATTTATGTGAGTGGTAGGGGACTCTCTTCCGTTTGTGACAGGCAATAGTGATCTTAATTCTATTCAAAAGTATTATGGTCGAAATCTAACTTTTACTTAAAATATTTGAAGTTTTGAAATCAAAATGTCTCAAAATGTCGCTTTCGGTTACATTTACTGTTTCAGCAATCGAATGTCAAGAGTTGGGACCACCGCTACATGGAACTATGATAGGATCCGGTCGAACGTACGGTTCTTTGATTAGATTTGTGTGTAATGATGGGTATAAAGTGGTCGGCTCTGCTGAACGCAGGTGCCAGGCTGATCGATTGTGGAGTGGCCAAGAAGCAAGATGTGAAGGTAACTCTAGAGCATGCTCTCTTTATGGATTAGATTCGAGCTAGGATTTAAAGATAGGTTCATTGAAGGATAATTAAGCCATCTGTTCGACCCAGCAAACTAAAGTGTGATATTTCTAATGAACAGAAAAATAAAATTACAGAAGCAACTTCCATAATCCCACAATAAATTAAATAAGTTGATCATTACAAGTCAAACCATTTGGCAATTTGTATATCAATGCGAGCTCTCACATTACACAGTAACCGAGCTCGTGGCAGATTTGTTCACCAACTGGAAGTTTCATTTTTACTATATCGATGTCCTTGGGTTTTACGATGGTACGATTGGTTAACCAGATTCAGTATTCCGGAAGTGACGCGAAAATAGGAAATTGGTCTTGGTAATCGTAAGGCCTGATATGAACAGGCCCAAAGATACTGCGGAATTTTTAAGCAGTGGTATACCGGTCGAAATTCTCAAATAAGGGAGGTAAACCATCTTTATGCGACATTTTAATTTGGCAAACGTCAGTGATATATTTTACTCAATATCAAACAAAATATTAACAGAAATATACGCTCGTACCTTGGTGCCCCAGATCCATTAGGGTGTGTTCCTTGTAGTACTCTATTTTATTTATATTAACAGAAATAGACTGTGGTGTACCCGGTCCATTATGGAATGGTTATGTCGATGGACATAGAACTACTGTAGGTTCGGTGTATTTCTTCAGGTGAGTTCTGCTAGAAATATTTTCTTTAGATAACATAGAAGCTACTCAAAATCACTCCCATATACACAATGCCCATTCCGGTATTCCTATACCGACAACGAAATGTAGTTAACATATGACTGCTGTTTGGGCTGACTTAGACTCGCCAGAAAAGTAGTTTTAAATGCAAAGGTATAGATTATGTATTATTCCTACAATGCACGTTATTCGTATTACGCCTGTATCAGATATATCGGTTTAGACCACCACATACCCTAGATTTAAACGCCTTCGACACACATAATTAAAATATGAATGGTGGATTTTTAATTGCCAGTGAAATCTAAAATGGATATGAATCACAGGAAACGGACGCTTATTTAAGGGCGAACCCTTTAACTTAAATATACGTTTAATCTTTCGGTCTTTATTATGATTCATACTGTACTACTTTCAGATGTTATGCCAGGACGACTTTTGACGGACCGGCGTTTGCTGCCCAGTGTCTGGAAAGCGGACAGTGGTCTCAAAATCTGCCAAAGTGTTTGGGTAAAACTGTTTCTGTGTTGTAATTTTAGATTCAGAACTTTTCACGTCTTTTTATAAACTCTTTAAAATAATCGGCATAATGATATATCAGATGATGGCTCGCAGCTGTTAACCAGAAGTGATGCCACAACTCCGATTTGATTAATGTATTCCAGTATTCTGACCAATTAAACAACTCAATCGACAGGCGTTTCGTTTTGATATTTTGTCAGTTTTACAGTTTTTGCGGTGAAGATAATAGTTGGGACAAGAACAAAATTTTCGACTGCTAAATGGAATTTGGCGTAATCGTAAAATTATTCTAAAAGATAATCCTAGACAATTTAATTCGCAATTTGCTAGCTAGATCTGGACATGCATTGTGTGTACAATTTCTATTTTATAAACGATTTCTTAATGTTATACAATACAGGACAATGTCAAGTACCAGCCATATTGAATGGATCTGTAGTAGCTGGTCAAGAGGGAGTGTGGGTAGATCATGGAACAGCTATAACGTATACATGTAAGGAAGGTTTAGAGTTAAATGATACGTCAGAGATAAGTTGTAATAACGGCACGTGGAAGGTAATACCAAGATGTGTACCAGGTAGGTAAATCTCTATTTGTAGGTTTCCAATGGCGAATCTAGAATGAGTGGACCAGGTGTACCAGGGGACACCCCACCCGCCACCCCAGCCAATAGAAAAGATCATATATCCCATGGTATCCACGTGTTATAAATCAAAGTAACTTAACGAATAAATAACAAAATTTGTACCGAAAACTGTAAATTAAAAGAGAAAGGGTCCTCCGATAAAGTTTTGGTGATGTAGGTCAGCAAAGTCCACAAATATTTTAGTGCTCTTTTTTTGGGAGTTACACAGGAACGCATTATCCATTATATCTCAACATTGACTTTATCTGTGGACGTAAGAATTTGAATGAATCAACAAATCAACAGCCATTTTAAATATATACTAAATTTACAGTATATGTAATCATAAATTACACTTTCCTTCAATATGCATTTGGTATTTCAGCCCCATGTAAAACTGCCCCACCACAGATGGAGAATGGTCACCGTGTTTTCTTCAACATGAATCACGGGGATCGTGCTAGGTATTTCTGTATGGAGGGATACAGACTGAGAAATGATCACAGATACCTGACGTGTAATTTTGGAATCTGGGAAGGACCCACACCACAATGTGAAGAGAGTAAGCATTTATTGTTAAATATTTCATAACATTATCACTATAGTTATGAGAATTAAATTATGCGAGTGTTAAGCCTTTTATGCCAACTAGCAATCGAAACAAAGACGCATGGGCCTACGGACGCGATGAATGTTATTTGGGAGGGGGCGTCCCTACTCCTTGTTACGTACAACCGGGGAATCGAAACCACGCCAGTTGACTCAATGACAGATCTTATGATACAGCACGCACGCACTAACCATTCGTCTACCCCCCCCCCCCCACACACACCTCTTGACAAGTGTAGCTTTTAAAAGAAGCAACGAGAATGGATGCGTCAGAATCCCGGCTTCAGCCGAACAGAACATTTGGGATTTTTCGAGCCGTGTTCTCACTTGTGTGGCTCTGGAGTCTGTGGGGCTGACAAAGATAGTGTCTGTAGTGGTTCGGCTGGGACAAAAGACGGAGTCCCGTGTTTAAAGATACATTAGTTAAGATTTAATAGAGTTTGCTGTTCTTGATATAACAGTTCAAAAATTGATGATAAAAAAGAACATATTGAACATTTCAGTCAAATTATTTTATTCTGAACGAAGTCACATTATTGGAAGTTTGGACTAGAAATTGGCATCAACTGTCTCCGTAACGTCACCGAGAATTGCCGATCGTTTAATTGACAGACGATAAACTCCGCCCACATATTATCGATTATCAAGTAACATTTTCAATGCCTACGGTACGCTCGATTATCAGTCCTTTTATCGACCGTCTCCAGGAGTGACGTCAGTGATTAACGGTAAATATTAGCTTGGTCATCCATTTAATTATTAAATGGACTGCTATTTAAATCCAAGCTGTATCTAAGCCAAGTTTATTTTGAGCTTGTTTTGTAAATAAAGGGCTAATTAATAATTTCTATAACATTTGAAGCCTATAGAAAGGCTTGCATATTTAGCTCTTAACTAATGTATCTTTAAGTTGATAGTTGATAATGATAGTAAGATCTCTTGACTTTTGGCGTTTGATTAAGAATAGGCGAGAAGCCACTGCCCGGGCAAAATTCTCCCCGTCGCACGGCACACGTAATCATAGAAATAAAAATTACAGTATGTTGGTCTAAAAATGCTCCAATGTAAGTGTAACTCGAGAATTGAAATTCCCAAGCAGGGGTTAGTGGGTAAAAAGAATATGTTTCTGATCACTTGATACAAATATAAAACAACGACTATTGATGGGAATTGATGATAGCAGCTAACTGATCTATAAAAAAGTATACATCTTTATTTATCTTTAGATTTCTGTCCCAATCCTGGATCCATACCGAATGGTCAAATTTACAAAAAAGGCCATTTTGGAAAATTCATCTTCAAAGAATACATCGTTACAATTAAACACGGTGACAGACTGGAGTACGAATGTCAAAGGAATTACAAACTTGTTGGGCCGAGTGGCGCTGCATGCGTTAATGGAAAATGGAGTCCACCAAACAGACCACGATGTATTCCAGCACGGCATCCCATATTACCAAAACTATGGCGACCTATGGAAGAACAGTAGAGCACAAGCGGGGAACACAAAAACGCTATAGGCCTATGTAGGAAAGACTCGACGTATTGCGCGGGCTGTGATCATTTTGGATTAGACGTAATGTCGCTACGATGTTGGAAGAAACAGCAAAGAAAGTGAATTCCGATATAATCAAATTTCTGATTTAAATATGCTAAAGATTACCTAGACACATTATGTGTTCCGTTGAATAAATTTTGAACGGAATTAGGTCGCGTAACAGAACAAACAAGACATCGGATTAGTGGACAGAACTGGACAATCTCAAAACAAATTTAACCCAGAAACAGTCGCTGGATAGCTGAACTCTATTAAAACTCGTTGACCAGAGTTATAGGCCTACTCCCATCGTTTTTATGTTCCCAAAGTTTGACAGTCTAAAATAATACTGTGTGATTAAGTATAGACAAAGTGACCTCGTGGTCATGATGTTACTACACCCATCAATAGGGTTGGGCTAAACTAAAGAACATTACTTGAAAAGGACTAAACGTCCGACTTTCTCGCATAAATTACTAGTTTTAGTAAATCTAACCACGGTTTATTTAAAACAAAAACACCCCCCCCCCCAAAAAAAAAATATAATGAGCTTGAACAGCTTGAAATTATTATCGTAAAGGCACTTGATACAGTTTCTGCTACGGCTTTATTCAATTCATAATGCACACGTTTCAATAGCTATCCTCGTTCTTATAAAAATATAAGCATATCACAATATCTAGGCTCCATGTCTAGCTTTTGTACTTGTCTTGTAAATACACCTGTATGCAGAACCAGGTGTCTATTTCGTTTCGTTCATTTTTGATACTGTACTCTGCTGCTTTAAAATTGTAAAAACAAACGAAACGAATTTGCAATCTAAAACTTTTATTAATTTTTTTTATATACATAACAACGAAGCACAATGTCATGTTAGCCAATGTTTATTGCTTGTGTTGTGTTGACTTTAGACGCGTAATTTGATAGCATTGATATTTATTTTAAGAATACCCTCCACTATTTTCATTTTTGAGGGCGATATAAGTTATTATTTGTGTGTCTCTCTATTTCTATTCGTCTACATATGCTCAAGCATCCACTGTTATAAATGGTTGTGATTACTAATATTATGTAAAAGTAAAGCATCATAATTAATATCGTTCTTGTAAGAGGCATTATCACTTTCACCATTTTTAATCAATTGTTTAGAATATCATGTTCAAAATAACACACCTGGTTATCGAAAACCCAAGCACGAATGTTATCTGTGGGGGATATGTCCCATGGCAAGTTCAGAAGCTGGTATGTTTGTATTCTGGTACTTTGTCAATTGAATATTGTTTTCGATTGGACAGTCTGTGTCTTTGTTAAGCTGTTGGTTCTGCCCTGTGTCTTGTACTATCGTCCGCTGAAATCTTTGAAAACTACCATTTTGTACATGAACGACTAAATGTTAAAACCCGAGCACTATATTAGCAAATTGCTCATATAGCCCCATTTGAACATCCTTAAGTTGACTGTGTTGTCAATTCACGGCAAATGAAAGATTTACTTATTAAGTCACCAGCGAAGATTCCCAAAGCTTTGATGTCTCTCTATACATTATTTGTACGTTCGTACATTTTAGTCTGTATTGTCATAGTTTTAGGAATGTCTGAAGAAATATTAAATATCTGATCGCTAGTTTCGTTCTACCAAATATGTATACGACTATTTCCAAATTAGACCTTAAGATTTTGTTTTGTTTGTTGGTCTAAAATACTTGATCACTGAACTAGTGTTTGGTCAGTTCTATTTGAAACCTTATTGTCATTTATTAAAGCATACAATAATATTTCTGTAAAAGAGTCATAATATTATATCTAAACGCGGACCATTTAGAGACATATTTTGCATCTTATTCATTGTTAACTGAATTAGGAACTGATATTAGAATCTAGAATCGGAGTGGAATGTTTCTCCAATACTTAAATCACCCAAAATGATATTTTATTTGTAAAGTCATTAAAGATAAGCTTTACTTAGAATTATGATGAACAGTTAAAAACAAGGACAACATCTAATAGATTTTAGCTTTAAATTAATATTTTTGAGTGTTTAGCTATACATTGATATCTTTGTAAGTTTTAGCGATACATTGATAGCTTTGTAAATTAAATATTTGCATTCCAGTTAATATTGATCTAATTAACGTTATTAATACCTACTGTTATTCTTTAGAGGTTTTATAATTGGGGGTTGTGGTCAATCCTCTTAAGGCCACAGACTTTTATTATTATTGTAATGGACGCACTTCATCCCATTAAAATTTTGCCATTCAGTAAATAATCCATTTTGATACAACGTGTAAATGTCGTCGTATTCCAGCTATTTCCGTCGGGTTCGGAATAACGGTTTGCTCCTTGGTTGATCCTCATGCGTGGTGTAGAAAGTGGTTTGAGGCTATCCAATTGGCCGAACAAATTCATCCAATCATTTACAACTAATACAAAGTCTAGTTTAGCCAAACGCATTAATTTGCTTAGACGAGGCGACAAAAAGGCGCAAATAAAGTTTTAAAAAAATATGTTGTCATTGCATCAATACCTCCTCCGGGTAACATGGATACAGTAAACATATTCTGAAGACAAACAGTAAAATGTATATCTATTTGTAGATGTTTGTTTTGATATTATTATATATTTAGTGATACAAATTCTAGATGTTGTTTAAATATGTAATCATCTTTATAGTTTGTCTAATAAACATATCAATTCAATCTTATACGTCCATATTTAATTTTGTCATTGGATTGACATTCTTGACACTTTAATGGTTTTATTGAATCATCAAATGAATGACCGCTGTCGAAAATTACAAAGCCTTGTAAACGTGTCTGAGAGCAAAGTTATGGGAAATAGATTCGAATCCTATCAAACATTAGGGCATTTCCAAAATTATTTGAACAGTTATTTGGCCTGCAACAAATACCTTGTTAAACCTTGGTAGAATAGATACTCGAACCTATATATCAAATATAAGCGCATTTTCCAAAATTATTAGAACGTTTTTGGTCCTGCGATGAAAACCTTGTGAAATCCTAGTATCGAGGATTTGCTGACCATGATCATACAGACATTATATTCCAACAAAACGCAGGGAGTGTGCTACAGCTAATCAAAGTTCGATGATTTTAAATACGATTTTAGTTAGAAAAATAATGGTGGTCTGCTTCGTTGTAGATTTCTTCAGATTAGTCTCCCTTTAATATTTAGTACTATTAGAAAAATTCTTCGGATTAGTCTCCCTTATATATTTCGTACCAGTAGAAAAATTCCAGAAGGCGAATATTTAACCAACGAGAGGTTAATAAGACACACACACACACACCCTTACATGTGAGCCTGGTGATTAGTGGTAGCATACTGTTCCAGTACGAATAACCATCCTCTTCCGCATGTACTACTCCACGCCCATCACCAACTTCCTCGTCCCTTTCAGCAATTTTTGCGGTCCCAGGTAGGTTAACACAAGTCGATGTGCGAGGGCAGTTAAGTTGAGTGACCCAGGTTCAAAGATCGGTGTAAACAGAAAAGTGAAGTGAAATGAAATGGGGTTTATCGTCTAATGAAGACTGTCATACGCCATACAATTTGCTATGAGGGGAATTTTGCCCGGGAAGCGACACTATGGCCTACTCATATCGACATCAAACTGCCAAGGAATGTTTTACGTGCACGCCAATGTGTACACGGGACCTCAGTTTTTCGTCCCCTCCGAACTACTAGATAGCTGTCCTTGTCAGACCCACCGTCCTGCACCACTAACAATGGGAAACCACGTTGGAAAATCCCGATGAATTTTCTCGGCAAATACAGCAACGTCCTTACCCACTTAGCCACCGTGGCTCCCCCTGTGTAAACAAAGAAGACCCTAGAGTATTCACTAAACTTGTCCAAGACTGTCAAGGAAGGTGTGTCTTTAATGTAGCGACTAACCGCGGCCCATAACACACAGTGTCTCCCTGGTTAGTATGAATATGACCGCGGAACGCCAATGTTCGAACAAGCTTTTTTTTCTATTGCACACGTAATCATATTAAATAAAAGGAATACGTAACTGTATCTTAGTCTTGAAATAATTTAAACTCCATGTTTCCTTTTCATCTATTTGCATATTTGTTTTACAAACTACGAGACTTCGCCCAAAGTGAATGCGTTTAGATAAAAGTCTGGATTAACGAGGTTCGAACAAGTTTCTTTGTCCTCGTATTACACGTGTAATCAAGTTAAATAAAAAGAATACATATAGCTGTATGATAGTCTCGAAATAATTTAGTTTAAGTGTTAGCAAGTGTTAAACCATATATTTCCTTTCATTTATTCTATTGGGCATTAACCAGACTATTGTTGTTGATTATTGCTAGTTCTGAACTTGGGGTCAATATCCATTATGATATTTACCACAATATATTATCAATCCATGGATTTATTATTAAATAGTACATCTACTGGATAGAATCGCCATGTTAATTGTCTATGAAGTCAGTGAAGCGAGATCAATAATGGTTAGGCACAAGCAGTACACATCTATTATATATATATATATATATTTATTATAACATAGTCAAGGACATGACCTCTAAAGTGAGATATGTTGAGTTTTCAAAATAACCCTCCAAAACAACGGCTCAGAAAGTAAATAAATAATATAAATAAACGAAAGAAACTACAAACACTATGATAAAGAATAAAATTGCAATAATCATACTACTCCCACCCAAAATCAGAAGAAAGAAATTCCTAGGTTTATCGTGTGACACTACAGGTAGAAGGGTACGTCGTGACAGTCCTTCGTCACGGCACTAAAAAAATATAGATGTGACACTATGGCACAGAGTTGACTATCTAATCAGCAACTTCCAGAAAACGGCCCGTGACACCAGGGTGGCACTTATCTAGTCAGAATTTCACGCTGTGTATATAATCACTTAACTCTGGAACACTTTGTTGGTTTATGTACCTGTGTTTATAGAACTCAGACCTAGCGGCTGAAACACTACATGTTGTGTCTGTCCCGGCGTCGAACCAGAGGCTGGGAGTACGTCCTTGGAACCCTGCATGATGTCGGTATCCCGGCCTTTAAGCCCAGGCGACTCTCTAGGAAGCATCCATGCTGTCTTCCCTAGGAACTCCAAATGATGCCTCTCCTAGGATCTCTATATGATGTCTGTTTCCCAGCCTCTCAGCCGAGGAGGCTGTAGGAACGTCCTTCTGAGAATACTAAATGATGTCGGCTGAAGCTAAACTATGGTAAAATAAAAAGCTATTGACCGATTCGGCTAGTCCCCCTGAAAATTTCAAGTCTCTACGATTACGGGGACTGGTAGAGGTCCGTTACTCAAATAGAACCCCCTTTCTTATATAGAAAGTATAGATGCGTCAGCTTTTAGGGCAGGGCAATTACCATTTTTGGGTAAGAGTTTCGTATGGGCAACGTTTTACGTTAACATTATTCTATTTAATTGTATTAGTCTATGCACCAGAAGCCTTTACGATAGTAACCGCTTTCCAGAATGGGTACTGGCATAACTGTCAGTGAGTTAAGTCTAAGAAAGTTGAATCTTGCAAAATACCTACTTAGCCCATTTCTCGGTGTCACCCATTAATTCCTCTTCAATATATTAAACACCTTACATAGAACTAAAATAACCCCTATAGTATTACAATCGTCCCTTTCATCGAAATTTTTTAAATTTCTGAAACATTGAAAAAGAATATCTGAAAGTGTATGGTTGGTCAATAAAAGCATAGACCCGTAATTGTTGTCTTGCTATCATTATGATTTTTTTTTATAAGTAAAACTTAAACATACATCATGCATGAGCTAAATATGCCTATTGCAGGTCTTTCTTTAGGCCTGAAATGTTATCTAAATTATTAATTAGACATTAATTAACTTATCAGACCATAATCAACTCTCGATGTTAACGCTAGCCTGCGAGGTTTACTGGATTAGAATCCCATTTGATGCCTCACTTTCATTCTTGACTTAATCATGAAAAGGATAATCGTGACTATGTTTTTTATCGTACCGACTTTAGTAATGATGATCGAGGCTAGGTCGAAAATTCAATTGCTAAAATCAGCTCTTTATCTAATCTCCCTTAATATATCTTTAATAATATAATTTGGACTTATTGCATTTAATGATACATTTATTCAAGAGCTAAATTTGCCTATTGCAGGTCTTTCTTTAGGCCTTAAATATTATATAAATTATTAATTAGACGTTTATTGACATGACAAGATCATGATCAACTCTCGATGCCTTCGGACACTCGAGATTTTAACTAGATTAGAACGGTTCGGCCATTTACTATCAGTTAACAAATAAAGCTTAAACTGGTTAGACCTTTTGGATTTGGGCAAAGTAATTCTTTTCGATTTCATTGGATGTGTTATAGTACATATTTTGATTTACATGTAATTACATATCTAAATTAACTAACTGCTTTAAAGTGGATAAGTTAATCTTTATTCCGAACCCTGATCGTTCTATTCACCTTTTCTGAACATCTATCTTAAAATAATTTAATATTACTTAACATGCATCTTAGTCATTGATTTAGTATGTACCTACATTTGAGTTAGGTCTCAGTAATGTAAATATGTTAATTTATATCACATTTTGTATTATATGTTTAACCCTTATCATGTATATGTTCAAACATTTCTAGTTAATTATTATTAAGATATTAAATTGGCGATAGCGACTGGGTATAAATATAAAAGACGAAATACGGACAATTATGTTCATTCGTTAATAAACCCAGTTCGACGTCAAATAATTAGTACTTATGTTTCTTATAGGTGAGTTAGTTTATAATTGTGTCGCCTTATAATTCATTTCGTACATATTATGCTTATTTTATGTATAAAATTATGATGCGAAATAGTTTACTACACTTATTCGCATAGTATGATAATACTTTATAATCGCTTATTGATTAGTGTATGTTTCTTTTATGCATAATATGATAATGTGAAATAGCTTAGAATTACACTTGGTCACATAATATATGCTAAAATTGTATATTCAATTATTCATTAATATATAATTTGTAATTGATGTTTTAATTATAATTTCAATATATCTTTATTAAGTGTGTTATCATTTTCATTCGTTAATAAACCCAGTTCGACGTCAAATAATTAGTACTTATGTTCCTTATAGATTTAAGTTCCTTGAATAATAAATATTGTGAGAGCGCTGTGCTTAGGCGTATTAGAGCTACGCACCCCCAGCATAAGAAGTCCTAAAATACGTAAAGCTAGAACAAACAAAAACAGCACGCTCGCAGATGCAATAAAATGTGTTATCTATGTAAACTCTTTAAGCGAGAAATGGTATCTGATGTTCGAGAAAGAGTGAGTGCACGACAACGTATTGATTTGATTTATGGGTTAATGATTCATCTTTGTTGATATATATAACTCATTTTGTGTTCCACTATAATTAGTAAAAAACATTTAATCGTATTGGGTCTGCCACACCATTAAACAAAATTGCAGGTAGATCAACCCGGGTTAATACTTTATTTTAAAAACATGTCGTGTTACCTCCTCGGACCCCCCCCCCCTCTGCAAAACCTGATATTTCAAATGCTACCTTGATCGGTGTTAAGGGTCCTGAGATCTGAACCATTCAGTTTTCGAGATTTTGCTCAAAATGGTCGTAGCCTCGAATATTCAAATGACCATAGCCTAGTAACCCATGGATCACAATTGCTAATAATGGGTATTGTTGGAAACGCAATTCCACAAAGTGTGACGACCTTGCGATCACCTTCCACTAATGACCCTTCATGTTTTCTATACAATATCAAAAATCATAAATAAATGTCTCTTCACCTTAAGATGGATTATATTGATGGCTGAGATAAGGATATGTGGTAGCCTGCTGTCGACATTCTTTAAAAACAGTTAACCATGGTTCAAACATATTTTTTTTTAGCGTACTGGTGTCGTACATTGTCAATGTACTAGTTTTTAGTGAGGCGGCGAATTAAGCCATCGCCTGTTTGCTCCATGCGCAAATACATACGCCCACGCATTGACCAAGCAGGCGATGGTACAGTCAGGCGTTCCTAGTCAAAAGTGTTGTCATAGTTATACAATGACGTCGTTTGGTGTAACTTTACCTTTACCTGCAATTTCCCAAATAGTATGCCATTTGTTAATACCATACCTCAAAAGACAATTTTTAAGACTTTTTGGTTTCATACAAACTAAGCATTACGTTATTCTTATAAACGATAATGATTACTTTATTCTCACAATCATTAATGATTTTATAATGTCAAAAACATACCACTTTACAATGAAGAATTCAAAATATGTTAATGTTCCAGTGCAATCGATAAAAAGTCCCGCAGTATTAGATAACGATATGGTTGCGAATTGCGATATACTGTTCTGCCAATAGCATACACCTGACACGTATCTGGCGGAATAGGGCGAATGGTATTCCCGTGATACCATTGTTACCATTTGGCGTCGTGCATCTTTATTATCCTAGTCATCACCGTTGCCGGGAAAGCCGGGGATTAGGACGTATACTGCCCACGGAGCAAGAAGGGGTTTCGAGTGTCTACAGATCCATCGCATCATAATGCAGAGTGAATCGGTTTCGTACATTTATAGTATGTCCTACATACGAACGTTGTGGCTGACGTGTACTCACAATTAAATAGACGAATCCAGTTTCTGTATCGGAATGGGCATCTGGTTCAGCAAGTTGCATTGCACAGCTTGACTATGAGTGGCCCATGCAGAATGTTGATGCAACATTTCCAACATTGCAGTTAGTGTGTCGTTGTAGTAGCTACCGACAAACAGTAAATTCCGCAAAGTTTGCACTCGGCTAATCAGGACTAATGGAAATTGCAGCGATTTAATTTCATTGGCTGGTAATTCGGTCAGCAGTTACTTGCTAGTTGTCATCGCTAAATGCGTGACAAAATGGAATTTTAAATTATGAACATAATTTGGATACCTGTTAGCAGGCTTTTTCGCGCGTGGGACCTCGTTTCGGCAACTTGGATATTTTACTGAATTTTTAAAAACATTTTTATCCACAATACTGATGAATGGAACAAAAAGTTATAAAAATCTGGCCCAGTTTCTGGCCTATAAATAAGATAACTAAAACAAACTTCGATGTTCACTTCAACAAATACAATCAAATTTTAATGTACTATGCTAAGGGCCCGTAGGGGTGGCTCCAGGAATGGGGTCGATCGTGTAAAACGCCGATTAACGTCATCAGTGCGCAGCGGAACAACCCGAATTCTATTACGGAAATCGTGGACAGAAATGTGCATGCCATACCCGATTGATCCGCGTTATTCCACTTTTCTAGTCAAAGGTTGAACTTTTCTTTACTGTCCCCAATACGCAGCCGTTTTAAGGGGTGAAAAAATAATTCCCTATCTTATTGGCTGTCGCTGAAAGTAGTGCCCAAAATTCGAAATGGTAGCTGCGCGACAATGGCTCATGTGGGACCAGGCGCCCAGTCTTCCTTTTCTGTCAGTCTGGTTATATTTTATTAAACATACATTATGCAAAAGATAAAACTGCCTATTGCAAGTCTTTCTTTAGGGTTGAAAAATGTTATATCATAAACTATTAATTAAACATTTATTAACATGACAAGACCATAATCAACTCTCGATGCCATCTTATGTGTCCGATTTTCATTGGATTTCAATCCGATCTGCTGATCAACGCTCATTGATGATTAAACGAAAAATGGATAATCGAGACTTTGTTAATTATCTCGACAGCAATAATAATGACAATCGAGGCTACAGTGATTTTAAAATAAGGTTTTCTCGGCTTAGAGTGAAACAATTTGAATTTTCAGCACATTCCTTTTACATTATCTAGTTTTTAACTATTAGAGTGAGAACTGTCAGTCATCTGCTACCTAATCATCCACGATCTATTGTTAAGTTTTGAGCATCAACTTCATGTCAGAAGGTGAAAGGTCGTTCAACTAATGCCGTCGATTATCATTTTACACTTCTGACTAATGCTAAACTAGAGTGAGAGAGGGAGAGAAACGGGGTTTAACGTCAACTCGACACAAAACTAGGTCATTTCGGGACTAATTTTATTGATTCAATTTTATTTCAATTATTCGCTTGCGCGTAGGGATCTTTAGCAGTGGGAGAAAACCCACAATGTTGGAAAAGCGACCCTACTCCTTGTTACGTACAACCGGGGAATCGAAACCACGCCAGTTGACTCAATCACAGACTTTATGATACAGCGCGCACGCGCTAACCATTCGGCCATCAAACCTAACAGGAGCCACGGTGGCTAGGTGGTTAAGACGCTGGCTCGCTAGCCTGGAGGTCGGGTGTTCGATCCCTGCATTGGCCGAGAAAGTTCATCCAGATTTCCCGACGTGGTTTTCCCTTGTCAGTGGTGCAGAACGGAGGGACTGACAAGGACAGCTGTCTAGTCTTTCGGATGAGACGAAAAACCGAGGTCCCGTGTATACATTAGAATGCACGTAAAAGATCCCTTGGCAGTTGGAATTCGATATAAGAGTAGGCGATAGTGCCGCTGCCCGGGCAAAATTTCCCTCATAGCACACTGTATGGCGTATGCCCGTCTTCATTAGCCCAGTATAGGAGCAGAACAGTAGGACGTTAAACCCCATTTCATTTCATTTCATTTCATTTCGAACCTAACAATACTAACCCATAAAGCACCCGAGGCGCAATTAACCACTAAATGACCTAGTTTTGATTTTGGGTGGATGAACTTTTCTCAGGGCTGGTATCTCCCACAAGTCTTTAGAAAGTTGACCTGGATTTGATGCTCCGGGGATTTAGTAATTTATATTATACGGTATGCGGCCAGAGCTCACCTTTTATGTGATATAAGCTCTTTAACCGAGACAATCTGTGTCGTATTAACGGCCCAGTTCAGCCAACCATGTATTTCTGAGGTAACACAGTCACGGCATTAAGAACCCAGTGGTTGTCGCCTCATAGATCTCATACAGATAGAAATATGTCATGCGTAAGTGTAAATTTTTAATACAATATTGATCTATGTCTATTGATCATGGGGGATAATTCTTTCTAAATACCTCGCCTGTGATATACTCGTCTTGTAATTGTTTTAGTTGTATTATTAAATGCTATACCAGTTTATCTATACGCTCCGATTCATGTTAGTTGTGCGATGAGTGGTCGTCAACAGAAAACAACAAGACCTGAAACCTATTAATAATACCAGCCTATGGTTTGAGCAACTGAGTCCAGTAATAGCAGGTAAATGTTGAAAATGTTTTACATGTACGGTATGATGTATGTGAAGATAGGGGCGAGGTTATTTTGGAACTAATATATGGTACATCTCTATTTTACTTCAAAAATTTGTTTCAATAATTTGTTGCTTGTAGTGAGTTATGATCGGGGTGGGCCGGAAGACGGCCATTCGATTGACTAAGCACGCGTTAAACTACCGGACGCCAAACAAAACTTCCTATATAAGGTCCTAAGACTGGTATTTTGAGCTTTCAGTATATAGGAAATTTAACGTTTTTAATCCTGATTCAGATACAAGCCTTTTCCGAGAACGATTTATCAATGTTAGTTAGACACGGCGGCGTCTGGACCAACAAGACATCTTTACCGATTCTTTCTCGTTTTATTTTGGTCTTTATATAACCCAGATTACCAAGGCAATATATTTTCTTTTGCAGACGCTGCTAGTCTAATTACCCCAAAATTGGGACTATTTGTATTGTTATTTTCTTGTCACCTTTTGAGGTACAATTTTTAACCAAATTTAATATAATTCTCAAGGTCACTAATTTCAACACCACCCCTTCGACGTCATTATGTCACTTACTTTTTATTGTATTTTGACAGCTGGCTATTTTTACATTTTCATCTTTGACGAATAAAACCTGTTTCGGCATATGTGAAGCTCGACAACGATCAATAAGCAGTAAGTTATTATTACCGATTAATTTCTTGTCTTACTATTACTGGTGCAAAAAAACCCAACAACATTGTAATGAAAACAAAACGAAGATGCTTTACTATCGCCCCTTTTCATGTACCATTGCGTTAGATGTGCCTGCTACAGGGTATTCTCGGTATCCGATTTGGCTCGTTTCCTTGTGCAGAAGTGAAACCGCACCAATTACCTCTTTTCATATGGAATCTCTTTTTCTTCCGATACTACGACTTGTATTTTATTGTTTTGTTTATGAAAAGGCTAGCAGTTGTGGGAACACCTTTGGGATCTGATTGATTATACGGGTATATAATGTGAGACAAACTTCCCAGCCATCTATCAGATATATACGTTTTAACTTTTCCGTGTCTTGGTAATATTGATAATGCCTTATACTACAGGGATTCGAACCCGCGACCTTCAGTGTGTCCAACGTACACGTTATCTAGTCAGCCCTAAGGGCTCCCTACAGGCCGAATAACAGCTGATGTAGTTCATATTCGGCCACAATCTTTGAGGACGCATGGAGTTTTACCATTTGAGAAGGCGCGCAAATAACCCGAGGACTCGAGAGAGTATATACACTCTAAACCCATGATGCAAAGCACGCCATTGCGACCCCCACCCTTCACGTAGTCCCTGTAATAGGGTTTACACAATGTTAGTCGGTTGTACCAACTCACACTGAATGTACAAAAACATATAGTTATATATTAATCCTGTTACACAAGGATATTTTTATAGCCAGGTCGATGTGTTTTGAGAATATTCTTATTAAATCGGTAAAAAAAGAGCTGGGATTAGCATGTGAATAGAAACTATTTTGAATAGAAGTAGATCAAAATCTAAATAATTAGATTTTCTATACACATATCGCATATCACTTCGCATATCACAAGGTCATGTTTTCAAGTATAAAATTACCGAATTTAAAGCGGGAGACACCCCAGGCATTTCTACATAAATCAAAAATAATATGAAGAGCCCAGGGGAAGAACGATCTATACTAAGTTCCTTTTTTAACAAACCCCAGTTAATGGCGCCATCTGGTAGCAAATTGTATAAGCTTTCTGTGGAACAATCAATTTCAGGTAAAAACGACCAGAGTCACATCGAACCAAGGCCCTTCTGAAATGGCCTCCCGGACAAATACAAGTCCATCATACTCTTTATTTAACCTTAATTTGCCTGAAAAGTTGAAGTCAGTTGTACTGGTAATTATGGTTCGTGTTAAACATCATCTTGAAGTTGTAATTAACCCCACTCATTGTTCTGTTCGCGTCAAGCATTCTCGTCCAAAAGTCTGTTTTGCGTTTTATGCGAAAAGACAAAAATGTGACTTAGATCGTTCTTCCCCTGGGCTCTTCATATATTAAGGAATATTGACACCGCCCATTAAATTAGAAACAATCGCCCTAATAAATGCAACATAAAAAAACCCCACTCCCATGTCCGAACCGCCCCCGCCCCCTCCCCAAACGAAACCAAAAAGACAAACAAACTCACGATTATGGGTCTACAAAAATGTCACTAAACCTTGCCACACCAAGGTCTCCAACGGTATTGTGAGCTCTTTGTTTTCCCGAAAAACTCCAGTGATGAGATTAAGACAATTTTGCAGAAACAGCTTCTACATTGATAAGCAAATGCTCATGCAACCTACCAACCAGAAATAATTTATTATCAATATATTTGATTGGCAGTCAAATCTAGGTATAATATCTAATCTGTTTGTGCTGTCGTCACAGGCCCAGAACTCGCGCTGTTCTAAAATAGGTCTTTACATTTTAATGGAGTGACTACCCGACTAACGAAACGAAAATAATAAATTGAGTGAATGAACACTTTAAGTACCACTTCTAAGCGTTTTTATCCTTTTACATATTATTTTGCCTTTTCCAGATGTCGGACATAAAGCCCTGGGCATGGGTTATCTTAGCAGCATCTTTCGGCAGTATGTTTTTCAACTCTTCATTTTTCGCTGCTGGGGTTATCCACATTGCATTAATAGAAAGATACCCAAATGTTGATGTTGGTACCATTGCATGGCTGGGATCGCTGTTCTCTTGTATGTTTGCACTAACAGGTATGTATTGATAAACTAGGCAAAATTCAAAATGTGATAAGAAAACATATTTTATTCCTTGTAAGTTTTAAAAACAGCATTTAATAAATTTGAAACTTTTATATCCAAATACTCACAACCAGCAAAATCGGAGGGATAACTCCATAATTTGCGATGGTAAAATTCTGAATTTCCAGTGCGTTTCCACTATATGACTCAAATGAAGAGCCCTACATTGTCCACGTGCATGGTGCAATGGCTATTTTATTTTTTCACTGCATTTATTGTATCCATAATTAAATAGTGAAATATTAACTGCAGCTTTCCAAGATGTGAATATTTTTTTGATGATATAAGCGTTCACAGATGAAGATACCACACAGACAAAGTTTAATAGACATTATAGAAACAACACATTTTTCATATGAAAAAAAGCCGAAACACCCCGGTGACTCAAACATTCCAGCTTTTCCAGATTGAACGCTTATCACCTGATGAACGTTAGGTTCCTATCTATGATTACGAGAATTCATTAGACTTGGTCCTGTCATTGTAAATACATTATGGTGTCTATTGTCTATTTCCTAACATTTCTAGCTTAAAAGAATGCTGATTCGAACTGTGATAAGTGCCGAAATCTCACTGGTGGAATTTATCTGCAGAAAACCAAGTCGATACCGATTTGTAGGATCTGGGAAATAGGGACAAAGGTTTAGGGTTGGCGATTTTACCCCAATAAAACATGGTCGGTCGGGTAACCCTAAACACAGGTACACAGACAGTCCTCCAAATTTTTCATTTTAACCCTGTCCTACATTTCTTTTTTAGTTTTAATTGAGTTAATTGGCCCTGTTCTCTAAGCTCAAACCAGTGACCGAGTACAACAGACTTAGCCTTGATTTTAACGGCATTAGTAAACATGGTAAAAAAAAATGCCCGACAATATGACATTTTCATTTCATAAAAAGGACAATACTTTCCTGAATTGGTCAAACTCCTTGGACCTGTATTTCAAACTAGAATTTATTCAACAAATATAACCGTATTTTAAGATGACTGTCGTAATTGTAAGCATAGCGTTTTGTCAGGCGCCCGAATACAATCTTTAAACACTTTGACCCATAAAGCGCATTCAAAGTTTCGAAAAGGTTCCACCGTTGGAATAGACCAACAATCCCAGCAAGAAAATCCAAATAAGAAGAATTGTGAACGGACAGACACACACAGAGATGGGTTGACATACATGTATGACTGACGGCAATATACTAGTATAAAAAGGCAATCTCTACCATCGTTACTCCCCTGTAAAAGGCATTGTGTCTTTAAGGAAACGGAACCGACGAGGCCTCCTAGTCGATTTCACGTCTCCTACCCATGCTAGTCTGGTATGGAAACACATGTCTTCGATATCAAAGCCGCTTGAGATTATAAAAAAAGGATGCTATTTTATTGTTTACAGGATTTACGCCATTAAACAAATATACAGGCGTGTATATGTTATTTCTGACATACCAATATTAGAACTAAATCTTTAATCGAATAGAGCTTTTACACCATCACTAAACAAATAACACACCAAATCAACGTTCATTTAAATCATTAATTTGTTTACGTTTGGCTCCCTATTTATGCACGACCTACAGTAGTTTATAATGAGTTAATACATGAAACTGTTTTTACTTTATTGTTTCAGTGTTTGTAGGGAGTATAGTTATAAATTTGTTTAATGCAAGAACTTGTGTTATGTTAAGTGGTCTTCTAACTCTAGTAGGGTTTACATTGAGCAGTTTTGTCAACGATATCAAGCTGCTATTCGTCACATACAGTTTAATAGCAGGTAAGTCTAACCGGAAGTAGCCTTCCCGCATACAAACTCAATCTGTTTCACAGAGTATTACGAAAATCGTCTAATATCTCTGTAAATGATGACTGCCCTCAACACATGACGTCATATCAGGCTGCGTCAATCATTGGCTCAATGGCGCGGCATTGTTTACATAAGACGTTACTGATTCGGGCAGAATCGCGCTTTTACTCATTTTAATACTCATTTACACTAAAATAGGAAATAATTTTTACCTGCAAATACTTCAAACGTCTTTATTAGTTTTTCTAATACACAAAAAAAAAAAAAAAAAAATGTTTTAGAATTTAATTTGTCGGATGAAAAAAGTTAATATTTGTGGCTCATTAAGTCGCATCAATGTCATCCTTATCAGTGAATACCTTCGTGGGAATATATCTTTAACCAGACAGGTAATAAAAAATATATTTACCCACATTCATCAACCAATTGAAGTGTTTCGAGAGAGAGAGATAAATGGGGTTTAACGTCCACTTGACACAAACTAGGTCATTTCGGGACTAATATATGGTTTAATTTTATTTCAATAATTCGCTTGCGTGTATGGGTCTTTAGCAGTGGGAGGAAACCGGAGGACAACCTACTCCTTGTCACGTACAACCGGTGATTCGAAACCATGCCAGTTGACTCAATGACAGGCCGTATGATACAGCGCGCGCGTGCTAACCATTCGGCCATCCAACCCCCCCATTGAAGTGTTTCGTTTCAGAAAAGTAAAATCTTCAGTAAATCTAAGTCCTGTTTCTTGTGTGTCTAATTGTAGTTCCTTATCTACATGAAAGGACTGCCTACAGTGTAGTTACTAAATAAATAGATCGTCCGTGTAGAAAACGTCATTTCGGGACTAACATATGGTTTAATTTTATTTTAATATTTCGCTTGCGGGTAATGGTCTTTAGCTGTGGGAGGAGACCGGAGGACCCGCGAGGTTGGACAGGCATCCCTACGCCACTTGACTCTATGACAGACCTTGTGATTTGAAAATACTCAAAGCAGAGCGTAAACTTAAACGTTCGGATGGGACGAAAACCAGGGTCATGGCGTGCACGTAAAAGAAACCTTGACAGTTGAAATTTGATAGAGAGTGGATGGAAACTCCCCATAGCAGACTGCGTGTCAAATGACTGACTTGATTATCCCGGTTGGTGTAGAAAAAGGACGTTAAACCCCATTTCATTTAAAAATTACCATTTTTCTCCATCATTTTTTTAAATTTAATTTCAGGCAGCGGCCAAGCTATGTCATTCGCAGGTTCAATGGTAACGCTAGCGTATTATTTTAAAGAAAATACCAGTATAGCTACGGGGATAGCCACCAGTGGCTGTGGATTATGTACATTCGTGTTTCCGCCTATGACTCAGTATTTCATTGACACGTATGGTCTCTCCGGAGCTTTTCTATTTCTTGGTGGACTCGGGTTTCAGTCAGCTGTCTGTGGGGCTTTAATGAAACCGACTGAATATGAAACTCGCCCCAACAAACTGTTGAAATGTTTAATTGCGTGCAGAAGAAAACAAACAAAGAAAAGCCTTATAGAAAAAGAACGACGAAAGAAAAATCTCATAGAAACAAATGACGAAAAATCGTCTCGTTTTTTTAATGAAAAGTTCATACTTTTTACTTCCGCGCCGGTTTGGTTGCTTTTCATAAGTTCTGCTGCCTTCCACATGGCATTATCAACAGTGTATTTATTCCTTCCAGATTATTTTAAACATCTTGGATCATCACCTCAAGAATCAGCCTTTATTCTTTCAATAGCAGGAATCACTGGAATATTCTCCAGAATCTTGCTTGGATTCTTGTCTGCAAGCGTGGACACCTCTCTTGTGTACGGTAGCACGTTTGGGATAATGGGTTTAATAACGTTCTTTGTGAATTTTATGAGTTCTTTAGGAAGTAAGGTCACTTATACTGCATTACTTGGATTTTACACGGGGGCTTGTTGGACTTTACAATATACTTTACTTGTGGACATTCTAGGGGTAAAGCATGCCTCGACTGGTTATGGTATTATGATGTTCTTTAGTGGTATGGGGTATCTATTGGGACCACCGTTTGCAGGTATGTATATGGAATGGGGTATTAGGTGTGATTATTTGATATCCGAGGAGAATTATTATTATATTATGTTTCATACTGTTGTATGTTTGTGTAATGGTTAATGGATGTTATGGTGTAATGTTTGGTGGGTGTTAATGTGTGATGTTTTGTGTGATGTTATTGGACGCTGTAGAACCGTATACAGCTAAAGTTCGCTTTAGAGTTGGGTGTCTGATGCACGTTATTGTGGAATGCTTGGTGAACGTTAACGTTTTTCTTTTATGCGATATTCGAGGGGAGTTCATGTGTCTACGTTATCTTAACTTGGAAGTAACCAATCGCCATTACACTTCGGGGGTTGCATGGCCTAATGGTTAGCGCGTGCACGCTGTATCACAAGATCTGTCAGAGTCAACTAGCGTGGTTGTACGTGAGTACTGTCGCCAGTCCAACCTCGTTGGTTTTCTCCAGGTCCTCTGATTACTTCCCACGGCTAAAGTCCCCTACGTGCAAGCAAAGTACTGGAATAAAATTGAACCATATGTTGTTAGTCCCGAAATGACCTAGTTTGTGTCGAGTGGACGTCACTCCCACCCCTCTCTCTCTCCCTCTCTCCCTCTCTCCCTTACACTTCAAAGACAACAAAGAATTAATGATGTTTTAATTAGATTATGACCATTCTTCACTGAGTTTTAAGTGACTATACTAGAGGGAAGAAAATCATCTATGTTCGGCAATACTAGTTGTATGTTATATATATAAACAGTTCTGACTGCTTGTCAGTATAGCCTATAACTTTGGGTTTATTTCTTGCAGAAATGGTGGCAGTCTGGTTCCATGATTACTATTTTGCATTCGTTTTTGCTGGTAAGCAATTGATCTCTTCAATAATCCGCATAGGTTTGGTTCTCTACTGATGTTGTGCTGAATATATCCTACATACTGAGCAAAATACACTTTGCTCTGGGTTAGGCCGAGCAGATAATACGTCAAATAATAGTTAACCTGCAAGTTAAAAACCTTTTATTCAAAATTCGCAAACATTCTTAGTAAAGATAAGGGAAACGCATTCGTGCCCACTTACAACCAAGAACAACACCCCCTACCCCCTGCTGATTTCCCTGGCTACATGCATAATCCTCATTTTTAATAATCTTGAGTACTGACATCGATACAGACTAATATGGTATATATCATTATTCACATTGATTTAAAATCAATGTCAACAGTGATAATGGGAAATTTGTTTTTTTTCCAGGTGTTTGTTTTATGGTAGCCGCCAGCACCGGATTAATGATAAGAACAAAAAACAATAAAATACTTCTATTATCCGATACCGAAATAAACGACGATGAAAAGGACAAATGTCTGTTGGCACCCGAGAAACATATAATCAGTGATGAAAAGTGGGTTTTAAAACAGTTGATTACGTCAGTATAGATAAACAAACTGTGATATATGAAAGAGCAAAAAACAATATTTGTTATCAATATTCAAAGATGACGAATGTGAAAAAGAAACAGATAAAAACAAGACCTGTGATATTTTGTTAAGAAAATATATGTTATGTTTATACTATTTGTAATATTTTAAAAAGCAATCGCATTTTAGGTAAAATGAAATGAAATGGGGTTTAACGTCCTGCTGTTCTGTTCCGACTGGGCTAAGCATTTTAGATAATCTAGACATCTGGCTCTATAAACGCGGATTCTGGAACATTTATCTTTAAATCGGAACTCTTACTAATGGAGCACGACTGGTGCAGTGTGTTGTGCGCGAGGGGACATGCATGTGCCACATGCTGCAGTAGAATGCTTACGCGCGTACATTTGAAAGTGCTTAGAAATTATATCTCAGTGGCTTCATTGTAGATTTATGATCTAACATGACTCTGGGACGTTAAGGTCGGCCATATTTACTGACAAGAATTTTATTCGAACGGTGGTCCCCAACATGATTCCATTTGAGGGGACTTATACAGCGCCGGATTAACCATGGCGGGGGCCTTGGGAGCTTGAGCATGTGGGGGCTCCCAACCTAACACAAATGACCATAACTTAGGAAGTATTATTCCACGCATATGAATCTAATTTGAAGCCGACCAGTGATAATTACAGGGAGTCCTTGATACGTTGAGTCATATCCGCGAAGGCCATAACGTTACGCGGTATCAAAGTGGTTTTCAACATTATAACCATAATCATAATGCTTAACAGTGTCAAACATATACCGTGGGCCAGATATGCTACAAATCAACTCTAGCATGTTCCACACAGCCCAATATTACCCGGCGGCACTGGGATAGCCCCCCCCCCCCACACACACAACCCCGCCCCGCACAATCTTGTTCCTCATGCAACATCATAGGTCGACCGGAGTCGATTTTTGACGAATGTCGAACACTGTAAGAACCAGAGGATAATATGAGATTCAATCAAGAAGTCAGTCTATTTCAGTACCGGCGGGTGACACGCCTAAGCAAGCAATTAAGTTACGCTTCATGTATGATACATGATAAAACAACCCCACCCCCACTCCCCAACGCTCGCATAAAAGGATCATAACGTTTATTATCCCCACAAAAATCCTCATCCTAGTCTGATCCAAATTTAAATGCGTTTTGTTTGAACCAAAACGCGTAATTTATTGTAAGTAATGTATAGTCTAAACTGAAAGTAAAATTGTGACCTCTAGAGGGTCCACAGGCCAAAAACGCGATCTATGGGATATAGACACACGCTTTCAGTTTCATCAAAATCGGATAAAAAATTGTGACCCCTAGAGGGTCAAAAATCTTGGTATTACGTGGTATTGAGTACGTGGAGCGGCCATTTTGTCGGGCAGTTTCGGTCCGATCTTCACGAAATTTAAACATATCACCGTTGCACACTAATGACGGTTAAGTTCGAATATCCTGCATGTTTAACCCCATTTAATTTCATTTAATTTCCACCCCTGTGGCTAAACATATCAAGGGAGAAATTTCGGACTATTGACTGTAACGTGTAATAGTAATGGTTTAAAAAAGACCACCGACGTAAATATTACTTATATTTACACCAGAAACAATATGATGTTACAAGACTTGAACACATAATAATCCAATTCCGTTACAGCCTTTCGGGGATGCCGATATAGTAGGGAGATCTCTGGTTTGTCAGCATTAACTAAGTATTGTTGTGTACATGTATATATTGTCCTGTCATATTTTCATTTTTTATCGTAGCTTGATAATGACTAGAGAAGTCTTGTCGAAACGTCGCTCAGTAATAAGCAGTAATTGCATTCCATAGAATTGTGACCTGTATACTCTAGTTCAATTACTAAATGCCATTGAAACAGTATAATTAAACAGAAAAGTAGATTTGATCTTAGTCTCTCCAAACAGAAATACAGCTTGCCCTATCAATAATATGGGCCTGTTGTTCAAAACTAAGTAATTTTAAGTTTAACGATCGGTTAAACTCCATTAAATTTCTGTTGATGGAAAGTCAGTTTCATTATCCGTTAGTTAACGGACTGATTGGAGCCCGGACGGGATCTTGTTCCTCATGCAAAATCATGGGTTACCACGCCCCTGGTTATATCACGATGACGGCTGGGTTTTAATTTCGTGAAAATCGGACAAAATGGCCGCTCCAAGTATGCAAATAGTATAAAAGTATGTAATACCAAAGTTCTGGACCCTCCCGATTTTGATGAAACTTAATATATATGTTTATATCCCAAAGATCTCGGTTCCTTTCGATAACGTTTTTCCCCAAAAAATTGCAAAAGAAAGTAATACAGTTTGCTTCAATGATACGTATATCAGACAACACCATACTCAAATTCAGCTGAATTCGGCCATGGTGAAATGACGTAATCTACATATTTCAGAGAGTGTTATCTGGTAATCACCGTGTTTTAGTGGAGGGAGAATAACTCCATTTTTTAAATTCTTCAAACACAAATCGTGATAGAGGCGAAATGTGCCGAAAAAACGAATTGGACCCCCAAAAAAAGAAAAAACCTCCCAAGAAATGTATTTTTCACGCCGGCTATTTCTTTCGAAATAAACTGTTTCTCAATAATATAAGCATTGAGAACCCGTAAGATGACATTTTTCTATAAGGTTTTCGATGTCTCTGAATTTAAAGATAAATTTTGAAAATCCAATGCAGCAGCAATTCAAAATGGCAGGCAAAATGGAATCCAAAATTGCGGATTTTAAGTTATTCGTCATTTTTACCTGTTGGATATGTAAGTTTACCACTGTTCATCATGTATTTTCTACATAGCGAACAGTCCATTTGCTGATGGCATTATTTTGCCTTTACCGTTTTTTTTTTAGGACTTGATTTTATTTTATTATAACATATTATTTATATGGTTTTCGGTGTCGCTGGGTTCAATTCTTATCTCAAAGATAAAATTCGAGAATCCATGATGGCAGAGATGATAAATGACCACCACAAAGAGATCCCAACCAGTGGAACTTTAATTAATCGTCATTAAAAATGTTACTTCCGTTAGATTTGACTTGTAATATTATGTCTTATATAAGGGTTTTGAGGTTGCGGAGTTCAATATCCATTTAAAACAATCTCATTAAAATACAGATCTATATTTCGTTTCGTTTTTTTTATATTTTTGATGGCCTCTACTACACGAAGATCTGATCGGTTGTAGTGTAAGGTCGCATCAGGGGTCATACGAGCGGATCTTGGCCTTATGACGTCAGATATTTGATTAACCAATCAGCGTTAATGTTCCTAATAAGTTACCCACAGTTTCGTAATAGACCGTTTCATTGGCCAATCCCTCACATCATCCAGAATGCGGGTTATATAACAATTATCACATAAATTAACACTTGGTATTTTGATCGAGTATTTTAGAGCTACGGGAACATTTCAAAAATTCGTATAAACAATTTATTGTTAGTTCGAGGGGAAAATGCTACAGTTGGTAGACAATATTTAAATGTTGCTTAAATACGTATTTTCATAAACTTATTATGCAGGTAGACTTTTACATGGAAGGTCGACCTGGATATAAAATAAGATTTTGTGTGAAATAGGTGTCCTGAATACAAACGAGTTTACTGAAATCAAATATCTGGTTCTACAAATTTGGGCATAGAGTTATTGGTACCCAACACGAGCTCCGAAAGAATAGCCTATTCTTAGATAAATCCTATGCAGAACAAACATTTCCGTTTCATCGAAAATTCCAATAAACAATTTACTTATAACTCGAGGGGGAAGTGCTACAGGTGGTAAGCCATATTTAAATGAACCCGTGGTTACTATCGGTCTACTTTATACCGTCCCACTTTATGGGGTGGGGGGGGGGGCTTGTTTTTTTTACAGCCCGGAACGGTGCCTGTAAATGGTGCTTTCTAGAGTATAACCAGTGTTTCTAGCTTATGCATGTATTTAACGTGCGGCAAACTTTGCAATTCATCAAAAGCAACGTAAATTCATGACTAAAAGGGACCAAATTTGTCAGTCTTTTTTGGTGACCGGCACCATGTGCAAAATACATTTTTTTTTTGTATTGTTTTAGTCAAATTTGTTATTTTTTTTTTAAAAAACATTTCACTTCTATAAATACTTTGGTTTGTGAGATTTTAACAAAAATTAATTCATTGTCTCTGGGAGCCATGGTGGCTAAGTGAGTAAGACGTTGGCTTGCTATTCTGAAGGTCGCGGGTTCGCTCCTTATGTTGGAAGAAAAAGTTCGTCAGAATTTTCTGGCGTGGCTTCCCCTTGTCAGTGGTGCAGGACAGAGGCCTGACAAGGATAGCTGTCTAGTCGTTTGGGTTGTACGAGGCCGGACAAGGATAGCTGTCTAGTCGTTTGGGTTGTACGAAAACCCGAGAACCCGTGTACACATTGGCATGCACGTAAAAGACCCCGTGGCAGTTGTAAGAGCCGGCCGTGGCGCCGCTGTCCGGGCAAAATTTCCCTCATAGCACACTGCATGTCGTATGCCCGTCTTCATTACCCCAGTCTTAAATGTTCCGTATTGAAACGCACTGGTTATACGAAATATCGATCTTAGAAACGTCCTGGAGACCAACATATAGAATTATGTTAATTACATAATTTCGCCTTGACCGACTTCGGCCGAATTTGAGTATGATGTTGTCTAATATAAATATGATTGAACCCAACTGCATTGGTTCTTTTGCAATTTGTTTGGGGTCACTCAACGTTTGAGATTAACTTGACCCGCCTAATATCGGAACGTAACTTTATGGATTATGGCTCCTGACTGTACATAAATCGCGTTTTCAGAGGTCACAATCCGATTTTGATGAAACTAAAAATATATGTTTATATCCCAGATTCCCCTTTATATTATCGCATTTGTCATATTCATACCCCCCCCCCCCCTACGCGGGACACAATATATCGGGAACATCAATTTCACATGTAGAAAACAGGATTTATTTTACGGACACGTCAATGTATACACTGGACCTCGTTTTTTTGGTCAATCTGAACGACTATACGTTGTCACTTGCCAGGCGGAAAATCCAGATGAAATTGTGTTTTATTATGGCTTTGATTAATTATTCTCCATTG